GTTTCCCTTTATGCTTTTGCCTATTTGGAATTAATCTAAATTGACTTGTATATGAATGTTTTTATATTTATGAAAGTGAATGAAGAAATTATTAGTTTTAGAAACGATATTAGGGAGCCTAGAACGTAATGACGTCACTAGAAGTCATCTGCGCATGCGAGAAATTCTCGTTTCTCGTAGTCTTCTCTGGAATATAGGACGCATTTTGGCCCCCGAATTAACGTTATGCAGAACGTAGGACGGTGACGGTTGTGTGAATTCTAGTCGTCCTAGCGTTCGGTACTGTCCTCGCTCAGATCGAAAGCTTCCTATTTGACGTAGAGAACTCTATATTTTAAGGATGTAAAACATTTTATGATTATCATGATGTTTTCTTTATATAGAATGCGAACAGTCTTCGTGAGGAAGAAATGAAATACATTGTTGATATTCACAATGAGTATCGAAGGAACGTAACGCCCAACGCAGCAGACATGCGCAAACTGGTAAGTTGTAAAACTAGAGCAGTACGTACTACATGGAAGAATCTAAAAAAAAAAAAAAAAAACTGTGGGAAAGAGGTCGCAACTATCCTTTTGCACACTTCCCTCAGTTTTTAAATATTCGAAAAATCTGCATATACCGTTCACGATTTTTTTCGTCAAAGGTTATTCTGTGTCTTACAAAAATCAGTTGTACAACGTATCATTTTTTCTCTCTCAGGAATCTGGTCTAAAGCTAATGCACTCTACTAGGAGGTCCACTATATAATAGGCTAATATATATCTTAGACATACCATGTTCTAATTCTTTATATATAGTATAGTTTCTATCGCACTTGTCTGTTTAACGACTGCAGAAAGTTATATCACATACCGTATGATATTATTACGTCGAATTCACATTATTTTTATTGCAATAAACTAATCCAGTAAAAATTCCCGTTGAAATAACCTTATCAATAATGATATTTTTTATAGATATCTTTACTACATCCTTTATTATAGGAATGGGACCAGGAGGTTGCGGCGGTCGCCGCGGATTGGGCATCGCGGTGTCCGAGTGGCCATAATTACGGAAGCGGATATGGAGAAAACCTGGCATTCAGTTCGGAACCATACACCGGTCACATATACACCACTTTGCATGGCGCTCTTAAGTCATGGTACGACGAAAGCGAACATTACAAGTATAACAAAGAACAATGCGATGGAGTCTGCGGCCATTATACCCAGGTAAGTCTAAATAGATGGACCTTTCCGTTAAGCCCCGCCCCTTGGAAATTGTTGCTAATGCCCACAAGCAAAGCAACAGCCTGCAACATTTTTGTTTTTGTGACAAGCGCGTATTGCTGGTCATGTTCTCATTGGTCAGATGTTAACTGCTCAAGTTACCATAGGGCAAAGTGTTAATATTGCTTATAGAAATCGTGTTGAATATTCAATATTCAACATTGAGCTGGGGTGCACAACAAAATTCATTGAAGTAAAAATACATCTGAATCCTAAAATTGGAAACACGTCTCCCTTGTAATTTGTTGTCTTAGCCTTCCCCATAATACATTTACAGTAGGCCTATATATATATATATACATATATATATGATATATATAGGACAACTTAATGATATTTTAAAACATTAATTTTAAAGATGGTCGACACAAGAAGCTTGAAGATTGGCTGCGCTACCAACTACAATAAATGTCCGGGGATATTCGGGTATATTCTTGTATGCAATTACTCACCAGCGTAAGTACACTTGTTTTTGTGTCTGCCCCTTTGTGGATCAGTAGACATTGTTTTCTTTCTCTATGGTAGACACTTGTCTACCGTTATCTACTTGTAAGAGTGAATCCGGTGGAGATGCATGATGGGATATTGCGTCATAAGCTACCTAAAGATAAACATGAACAGTCTTTGAAAATAAGCCTACGAAATGATGCCATATGCCTAAATAAGACCTAGAAAGAACTAAAACGTCAACAATCTGTTACTTGTACAGTTATTCAAATGAATTGCCAACACAGGATGCGTGGATGGGTTATGAGTTAAAAGTAGCCACAAAAAAACAAAAACAAAACAAAAACAAAAACAAAACAAAACAAAAAACAAACACAAAAAAACCCTAAAAAAACAAAAAACAAAGAAATAAAAACTATGTTAACAAGCCGTAGACACACGCTCCCGCTGGGAGCCAGTTTTCACTTTTACGAATCCCAACAATTGTGAAATTAAATTTATTTTTAAACGGATATAAATTACACTTACATGTGTATTAATATTCTGCATTTTCATAAAATATATATTATGTATAAGACTTCAATTTCAATAGTAAAAATATATTGCGACGAAGTTGGTTGGCTTAAAGTCAAAAGGTGTTTTTTTGTTTGTTTGTTTTTTTTTTATTAAGTTGTATTGGTTTGTTTTTTTTTTTTATTAAGTTGTATTGGTATGAAAGAAGTATCAATTTTTTAAAGCTCTGGTCATATAATAAAATGTGACAAATAACTGTGATATGCCTATATTTGGTTGTAAAATGACATCATCAAGTCCATATAGCCACATCACACACATTTGTCAGATACAATTTGATAGTGTGGAAAGAGATATAGGCGTATGCTACTGAAGATTTAACTAAATACTCTACCTTCGATCTTTAACGTTGAATACGTTTTCTTTTATGTAAAGTGGTAACTTCAACGGCAAAAGGCCTTACCAGAAGGGAAAAACATGCTCAAAATGTCCTGACAACACCAAGTTCTGTGTTGACAAATTTTGCGGTAAGACGAAGGTTTAAGAATTAAGTCGAGCACTCACTGCGCCTGATGGTCGTGCGGCCGACTCGATTCTATGGACAACGCAGCATCACGACGCGCGCGCACGGATCGTTTTTAATAACGATCCGTTCAGACTGCCACCAAAAATCAGTACGGTAGACGGAGCGTCGTCTAGCGTTCACAGCGAGCGGAGTTGGATTCGTCGTACGACGCAGTGAGTACCCGGCTTCATTTAACACTATGAAACGGAAATTTTCATTTTTTTTTTATCTAGCCCAGTCCACTAAACTGTTGGTAGCCACTCCGTGTGTGCTCAACCGCGGATGTGGAGTTCATTTCCGTACTTTGGTCCCTTGTTCGATTCCTTGTGTTTCAGCTGGAAGGCTAGAAAATAAGTTATGATAGCGCACTGGTTTTCCGGGTGAGACTTTTCATCTGTTGGTCCGGTGTGCAACAATATGCGCCCATGCGCATATTAAAGAACGCAGTACACTCTTCGGAAAAGATTAAGTGATTGTCTCCCGATGTATGCCTGCTGCCCTAATCACCACCAGAAGGATCTCACTGGAAACAGTTCTTCGGACTTACTGAGCTATCCTTAGTGTTTTTTCACACCAAAAATACTCTTAACTCACAAGGATTGAACGCTGAATCAAACAATTTTTTTTATGACGAATTTAACATTATACTGTATCAATAACAGGCTAATGAAACATCTTCCGTTTTTTCTAAATACAGCTGCGTGCGAAGATGGGAATTGTAGTAAGTATACACTCTGTTAATTTGCTTGTAAGGTACTATTTTGGACTAATTAATAATGATATTGATAATAATATTAATGATAATACAATGATTGATATTGATAAAAATAATGATAATGATAATTAATAGTGATGATGATAATGTTAAGAATGATGATAGAAATAATGATAATGTGTGTGATAAGAAGAGGATATTGATAATGATAATGTGATCTTATTAACAATTGCTATAAACTTTTAATGATAATTTGTGGAGTTTTATATATTCTATTTGTAACCGTGTCACTTTAGTTTTTAACTGCCTGCTAAGGATGTATGTATTTTTATACCGAAATATTTATTTATATATTTAAATGATGATTATATTGATAACAATAACGATAATAACAATAATATAACAATAATGAAGACAACGGGAATTATAATGATATTAATGTTAATTGATTTTATTTGTATTTTCCAGAGTGCAAGAGAAAGTGCAAGAAAGGTGTATTAAATAAGGAGACATGTACCTGTGACTGCTACAAAAATAAGGGTTATTACGGCTCATTTTGCAGTGGTGCGTATTAAAAAATATCATCAATATTATCATTAGGTAGTTTTTGTCGCACGACGTTAACCTTAACTTTAACGTTAGTACCCAACTTGCAACGCGATAACTCCGCCCCTTTTGTAAACAAATCGAAATACGCTTGGGCAAACCCTAACTAACGTCCGTCGAACACGTAAAATCCTGAAATTAACGTACTCCGCAACGCAATATGAATAAATTATGACGTCATCCGTTAACGTTAAGGTTAACGTCGTGCAGCGAAAACTCCCTATTATTACAATGATTACCGTTAATATCGTTATTAGGGTGTTTTTTCACAAGCTTACTAAAATGATAACGAATACGGTTACGTCATCAAATTATTAGACAACCCTTCCCCTGCAGTAGCATATCTTTTGCATGAATCAAGGATTTTTATTCAGGTCGTATAGCCCATTGTCAATAGTGTTTTAGGCACGAATAACGATAATGATAATGGTGTATTCGTTATCGTTTTTTGTAAGGTTGTGAAATCTTCCTTATCATAATTATCGTTATTATCAATTAATTTTCATTTAATTTCATTTATTCAACATTTATTCGACCATTTTTAAGCATGCATTAAAACTAAACAAATCAAAGTTACAGTATATATAGAAAATAGTTAAGGGACAACATAGAAACTCTCCGTCACTGTCGCCACCCCCCGCCCCACTTCAAAGGCAGCAAAAACAACATTAAACATGAAAATGAACAGAAAATATACAATATCATAACGAATCACTATTACCGTAATCATTATCATCTTCATTATTATTATTTCATCGCTATTAATATTATGTTTTATTATTATCATTATTCTTATCATCGTCTTCATAATTGTTATTGTTATTATCACCATTATCATTGTAATCATCTTCATCATCAGTATCATTATTATCATCCTAGTCATTATCAGTATCATTATATAGGCCTACATATTAATTGAGCATAATATTGGTACAATTTTTTTATGTTATTGTAGAGAAGTGTAAAAACACAGACGACTGTATCTACGAATCGTGGCCCGACGAAAATGTTTGCACCAGTGATTATTTCACCAAACTTTGCCCCCTCAAGTGTCATCCAGATTGCGGTAAGAATTATCGATAGACGCCCCATTATGTTCCCACTATTCTCCCACTATTCCACTATGACTAAATCAACCCGATTCTGTAGAACCAAGTCTCTTTATGAGGGCTGGGGAATGCAGAATTTATCATTTGGGACCCCGGATGCTCCGTAACCAAGTCTCCTTATGAGGCTTAGAGAGTGCACAGCTGATCACATGAGACCCTTGATGCTTTATAACCAAGCCCCTTTATGAGGCTTAGAGAGTGCAGAACTGATCTCTGTGGCCCTGGATGCTATATAACCAAGTCTCTTTATGAAGCGTTGAAGTGGAGTTGTTTTTGGCTGTGGAAAACAGCCTGACGATTCTACTAAGATTGAATGTGGGCATTTTTTGTGATATGGACATGATAATGTTATCACACTCATTATATAAGTATTTTATTTGTCGCACTCACATTTGAAAATGCGGGCAGATCCTAAATCTCCAAACCAAACCTCATTAGGTCTACAAAAGAAAGAATTTAATGATTTTAAAAGTTGAAAATTCGTTCATTGGGGACACTATAGACTATATAATTATATTCCCATGCGCCATAGGCCTACATACTCTGTATTTTATTTATTTAGTTTTTTGACGTATAGAGATACGATACGCCGTCGTGTACATGGTATACGAACTTTGTATTATGCACCTTATACTAAATAGTATATATAGAACTACAAGAGGTACGACTCTCGGAGTTTCGTTGGAACGTATCCTATTTCTGATACCACGAACATTTCGAACTCTATTTGAATTGTAATAGGGCGCCCTCTATCGCGTGGTAGTACTTTCTCAACGTTTTATTGTATGCATAAAAAATTAGGCCAGTCGGACCTCTTTGCATACTTGTACATTTTACAGATTTACTTAAATAAACACATATTCCTTTTTATGGCATAAACTGCATTTTCTACTATATATGTAAGAGGTCTCTCAATCTAGCTATTTATTGCTTTCCCACTCTTTCTTACAGCGTACTACAAGAAGAAAAAGGGTTTTTAAGTATAAACTATCATCACAAAATGGTAATAAATAATTGATTATTATTATTGTAATTATTATGGTTTAGAGGCCTTATCCTTTGTAAGTATGTTACGATGGAAACATGATACATTTATTGCTTTGATTTCGTTTTTGACTGGACTGTATTTTGCATTTATGGCGGACTCGGCGTTCCGTATGCTGTTCTCTAAAGAAAACTATTTGCTGCCCTCCCAAGATAACAAATGATATTTAACTGTTGAACTTGAACAGTTTCGTTACTAGGCTCCAATACTGGAGCCTAATAGTAGGCCTCGCCTATTTAATGGCTGATGTTTCGAGTTATCTTTTAAAGCTATTGTTACATCTTTCAAAGAAAGATTGTTATATATTTTATTATAGTTAATATAATTATATTGTTATATAGTATATTACTATTTGCTTTATTTTATTTATATTCTTATGTTTTTCAGCATCATACCAAATTATTAGTTACGATTTGTGTTGTGAAGTTCAAAAAATTGTAATTATTATTACCAACACAGATGAGCTTTCATTCTAATACCAAATAATAACAAAAAGCGATATCAACTCTTGTTAATGTTACGTATGTCTTTATACATTTTATAAACGAGTAACATTTGTAGGTCCTTCCCAAGTTATTGTGATTGCTAATAAAACTGTGCGTTTAGAAAAATATTTCAAAAGTATTTCATACTGATTAAACTTTAACCTTATGTCTGCCTTAATTAGTGCTACCGCGGTTGCTGATTATTATTATTTCATACTTTTCAAAGAAGATGTTTTATAAATAATTAAGCCTAAGAAATGTATACATATTTTTGTTGTTTTATATATTTTGTGTTGATTTCCCCCTACAAAAAATGAATATCAATAATATATATATATATATA